GTAAGGAGGCTTTAACATTTTGCGTGCCAGAGAACTTGACTGAACTCATTGTAGTTCAGTTCTTCAGAAATGATGCAACATTTCACTTAATTCTTATGGAAGAATTTTACTTACCAAACTACAGAGCTCTATTATTATGAAATGCTGTAATTAATTTTAAAAAATGAAACTTCTAAATTTATAAAGGAAATTTAAATTAATTATAGATATGATAAATGATTTTTTAAAAATAAACTTCCAGAAATACAGAAACATAAAATGAAAAGTGAGAGCCTCTCAATCCCACAAGATACACATTTAAGAGATTTGAAAACATGTACATATACTCATCATGAGTGTTCATAGCAGCATTATTCATATTAGTCAAAAATTAGAAACAAAGCAAATGTTCACCAACTAATTCATGGATAAACAAAATACGGTATATTCATACAATAGATTCACCCATTAAAAAAGGAAAAAAATATGATATATACTACAATATGGATGAAATTGGAAAAGACTGCATTAAGCAAATGGAGATAACTAAGGTTAGATAATGTATGAGCCTATTTATATACAATGACCAGAATAGAAAAATCCATAGAGGCAGCAAATTGACTAGTGGTTGATAGGATAGGATGGTAGCGGGGAATAAGAAGTGATTCCTAATGAGTACACAGTTTCTTGCTGAGGTTATTGAATGTTCTGGAATTATATTGAAAAGGATTACACAATATGGTGAATAGACTTAAAGCTACTGAATTGTTTTTCATTAATTTTGAGGTACATCAACATAATAATTGTTTAAACTTAAAAACAGTGAGTCTGTTTACCTTTTCTTATGTAACTAGAATTTAGAGACTGTTATAAGCCAGAGCATTTGTAAATGTTTCACTGAAATGATACATTTAACACTCAAAATGATCGTATATTAGGCATCTTTAATGCATAAGAAACCTGAGGCACTGGGAGGGGGTTAAACAATTTGCTCAGAGTCTGCTTATTTTGTTTTGTAAATGACTAAGCTGAGTTTATGAAATCAGGCTGTCTGACTTTAAAACTCAGGTCACGTGCTAACCTACCAGGAGTAACTACCATGAACAGTTGGGAGAATATAATTCTAAATAATTTTCACTGAGGAAGTATGCTATAGTTTGGTGTCCCCAAAAGATCATGTGTGGGACAATGCAAGAAGGTTCAGAAGAGAAATAATTAGATTATGAGAGCTTTGAACTAATGGAGAGATTAATCCATTGATATGCATTAACTGGATGTTAAGTGTAGGTAGGTAGTGTGTGGCTGGCTAGAAGAGGTACGTCACTGGGCATGTGCCTTTGGTGTTTATATTTTATCCATGAAGAGATCTCCCCCCCACCTTCCGTGTGTGTGTGTGTGTGTGTGTGTGTGTAAGTGTATGTGTTTCTGTCTCTTCATCCTGCTTTCCAGGTCCTGAGTTACTTTTTTCCAGAGTCATTCTGCCTTGATGTTTTGCCTCACTTTGGGCCCAGAGATATGAAGGGGGCTGTCTATGGACCAAGGCCACTGAAACCATGAGCCTCAAATAAGTTTTCCCTCCTCTATGTTGTTCTTGTCAGATATTTTGGCCACAGTGATAACAAAGCTGACTAAAACAGAGTACATCTCATTTAAATTTGGGCTGTGACAGTTTGAGCAGAGCTGAGTAGTGATCCAGCAAAACAAACTATTATCTGGTCCTGTACAGAAAAAATTTCACACTTGCACTATACTGTACATGTTACTACAAAACTTTCTTTTATCATTTCATGCTATATTATGTTGAACCTTTTAGATTTCCTTATTTCCTTTAAATGGCTGCAAAATAAAAATGTACCCACAGTTATTAAATCATTTGCAATGAACAGAAAGTTTACGTTCCCCTCACAAATTCTTACATTGAAATCCTAACCTGCCAAGGTAGTGGTATTAGAATGTGGGACTTTTACGTGGTGATCAGGTCATAAGAATGGAGCCCTCATGAATGCCTTTTAAAAGAGGTCCTAGGGTGCTCATTTGCCCCTACCACCACCATATGAAATCATAACAAAACAATGGTCATCTATGAACTAGGAAACAGGTCCCCACTGGACACAGGCTCAGCCACTGCGCTTTGATCTGAGACTCAGCAGTCTCCAAAACTGGGGGGAAAAATCTCTTGTTTTTAATGCTATATAATGATATTACATAGTATAGTCACCAAGCTTATGTCATTTTGTTGTAGTAGCCTAAAATGAGTAAGACCACTTCTCTATGGAAACACCATGACTAAGAAAAATACCATGTCATTTAACAAACTACCCTAAAAAAGTTGAATTGATTTATTTACTGTCTAACACGACCTACATTTTGGTGGTCTAGATATCTATAGACTTTGAGAAGCGTTATGACTTTTTCACCTGAATAAAGCTTTCTTCTTTGGCTATTCAGTAGCCCTCCAACATTGATGCCGAGTCCTGAGCTGCAGAGTCAGGTCAGTGTGATGCAATCACATAGAGGAAACTGTCCCTCACTCTTCTCAGCTACCTTATCCTTTCCAAGCTTGTATCTTTTACATGGAAACTTATGATCTCTTACAAGTAGTTGTAAGAGTGAAAGAAAAGCTACTATCCGGTTGTTGTCCTTCTATAGTGAATACTGTGGTGTGCCTTTTGTGACTGAGGCATTCATTCTCCTCCTGTTGGTAGTTCATGACTTAAGAGTTGATTCTTTGGGAACTGCCTTCAGCTCAATGAAGACAACTTTATTATGGCCTTCTACTAGAGGCAGATCACAAGCAATAACTGGTGAATGCAAAAATAGGAAAGGCCGATGTCCTAGGCTCAACGACAATGATGGAGGGCCATCTAGCTGCAGAGTTCTCTGTGAAGTAAGGTCTGTACTGACCTTAATTCAACAAGCAAGACTTTCTTGGTCCAAGTCTTATCTCAACTCACAAAGGTGATGCACAAATAACACTACCCCATAAAATTTCCTGTGGAAAATGGTCCCTTTCTAATTCATGTGATAGTTGACTTTATGTCTGAGTTTAGGTGAAGAAAATGACTATATGTGGCTTAGAGCCTTCCCATTTGTAGGGTAAACACACAAGATTCATGCCTCAAATTATTGTTTTTTAGAGAAAAGTCTGAGCAGTCATCAGTCTCTTTTCCAAGTAATGGGGTTCTGAACTGTGATAAAGATGTTTATGGGAATCTTCTCTGAGGTTTAGATTTTCCCTGGGATTGCATCTCCCAAAATGTAAATTTAGCTGCAGGTAGTAAAAAGTCCAGTTGTAGCAGTTAACCTAATCTAGGATACAAGTCTACCTCCTTAATGACTATGCCAATAATGCCATTTTGAACTGCTTGATACCTTCTTAGTTGACTCAAAACTCATGGGATAGGGATAGATCATGATCATGACCCCAAGTCCACACTGACAAAGTACAACACTACATAAATCGAGTAAGGCAAGTCTTCATTCCTCGCTAGGAACTATTATGAGTCTTAGTTACCTAATTTTATCTATGCACAGAGGGAACTGCTTTTCCAGCACTCCATCAGAGAAGGACACGTCCAGATTCAAACCTCAGCTTGGACACAGGACAATTCTATTTAGGCAAATGGATTTCCCAAGCCTGGATATACACAGATCCTTCTCAAGACTTTTCAGAGAACAAAAAATCCATTCTTGTCCATTTCCAGAAGGTAAGAACAGGGCATTTCATCCTGACAAGACTATTTCAAGTTTGAATTCTGAACAATTCGTGAATCAGACTCACATCAAAATACACCAGTACAAAAGTAAGAAAAAGATGGCAGAATTAGAACACAGAGCAAATTATCAGGGCCACTGTCCATGACAGTGGCTACTAACCTGGGACTCCAAAAATATCTGGCACCAGGCATCAAACAACTCAAGAGTCATCCTCATTCTTTTAGTGTGTGGCAATAGAAGAAGAGCAGCCTATGACAGCCAGCCCCACAACCCACTCTTGTTTAAGAAGGAGAACTCAGCTCCTTGATAGTTTTTTTAGAGAATAAGCTTGAACCCTGAGAGTGGATGAGAAGCTGAAATGGGTGAGGCAGGGCACTGACCAATATCGAAAAACTCAGAGACAGGCCTCTGACCAAAATAAGAATGTTCTACTCATGCCAGAGTGAATGCAGCCTGAAGCTGGGTATTTCCCACTCTGGAGAGTTTTCTGTCATGAGGTAGCACAGGATTAAAGATCCCTCCCACTGTTGAAAATCTAAAGAAGGAAAAAAAAATATCTTTGAGCTGGTGGAAAGAAAGTTCTAGTACATCACAAAGTGTTCCAGGGAAGGAAGTTGTGATTGGAGGTGGAGATGGGTGACTTTGGAATGTAGAATTGCTAACTTGATTTTTGTTCATTTCTTAAATTTTTAATATTTTTAGTCTGGCGCCTGTGATTTCATGAACTCAGAACTAGTAATACTATTAATATCACACATCTAGTCCAAAAAACCAAGCTCAAATATTTAACACCATGACCTTCAAAGCTAGAGAGGAGATGAATGCTAGAGAAAGAAATCCTTTCCTTGCCATGTTTTTTTGAATCTGTTGAATTTGTAGATTTTATAGTAGTCGAATTAAGTCTATGTTACTGAAATGAGAGTGGGGAAGGGCATGACAAATTAATCATGAATTCTATTGGGCATTACACAGAATAGAGCACAGATAAGATTTAAAGAATATGTTCCAGTCTCTATAAACCTAAGGTACCAGAGATTCCAGTGCAAAGGAACCAATCACTAGCCGAAGAGACGGGAGAAAAGTTATGAGATCTTTCTCAGGCTGGATTTCATAAGCTCGTCATACCAGTTTCTGCAGGAATGTAGGAATTATTGCAAAATGGTTAGGTTCTACAAACATATCATCAAAGCTTCACTGTACATAGAAAAAAAATGTTTCAAAAAAAATTTTTTTAAATAATCCATCTTTTTAAATGCCTTAACTTATTCTTCTTTGTATGAAAAGGAGGAAATCTACCAGCTCACCTGTGTCAAACCCCACACTTGGCACTATGTCCACTGTTCCATGAAAGGCTCCGGCCCACGCTGAGGTAGCAGTGGTGACTGTAGTCGGATCTGTCTTTGTGATGTCACACTGGGGAGCAGGAATCCTGGCCGCTCGCACTGATGGCATCAGCAGGGGCCCATATGAGGGATCCAGGGCAGAGCCAGCAGCAGGGTGGTGGTGGTGGTGGTGATGGTGGTGGTGACGGTGGTGCATGTGGGCATGGGGGTGGTGGTGCCGCATGTACACGTCATGCATGTGGCTGTAGGATGGGCTCACCTGAGATGCCAAGGGATAATGCCAGGACTCAGACACGGGCGGGGGAGGGGCTGGGCCAGTCTGATGCAGGCCATGTCCTGGCCAGGGGCTGGGCTCTGCAGCAGTAAAGGTGCCAGGGGGTGCAGTGACCTGGAAGTCGGGATGAACTCCCCCCAAACAGGGTGCAGGTGGGGGCTGGTAGGAGCTGGTCCAAAAGGAAGTTGGAAAACTACTCCGTGGGCTTGAGAGAGCTGAGCTATCTGAGAAGACAGAAAACACATTATTTACATAAGATTCAATTCTGGGATAGACTTGCCTTTACTTGTCCGATAATGTTTCACAAGCAGGTGAATCAGCATGCACTCTTCCTCTCCCCACACAGGGGTGAACTGATATAAAATGTTGGCCTGTGGGCTCCCGTGCCAAGACAATGGGCAGGATTCAAAGTGCTGAATACCCCCTTCACCCCCAGCATTTGCTTTCTTAGTTGTGCTGTCTGTGCTGAGGCTTGCAGTTTGGGGATTGAAAAGCTTCATTTCCTCTTGGGAGGTTTGGTGCCTTTAGGCCTGAGCTCAGGTCATGGCTACACTCTTCCTGTAAAGAAAACTTGTGCCATAGATGAGTCGTGTATGGATTGGAAATAATCATTTTGACCAACTTCTTTTAAACACAAATATATATTTTTCACTCAAACCAAACATTCCAACTCAAAAAGTAACAAATGTAAGTATGATTACATTTTACTGTGCTCTCTATTTAATTTTCCTTTAAGAAAACTATATTCCTGGGGCTAGGGTTTTGGCTCAGTGGTAGCATGTGTGAATCAATTTTCCCTTTGGTGTTGGGATCAATTCTCAGCATCTCAGGTAAATAAATGAATAAAATAAAGGTCCATCAACATCTAAAATAATATTTCAAAAAAAAGTGTGTGGGGGGGGGAGTGTCTTCCAACCTCTTTTTACCCCCTGTACAGAACTGGGAGTCTTTCAATTGTGATAATAATGGTTAACATTTAATGAGAATAACCAAATACCCAACACTAGGTCAAGTGCTTTGCATGGATGATCCCATAAGATCCTCACTCTAGTCCCATGAGACTGTTATTTTATTATGGACATTTTAGAGGCAGAGAAACCAAAGATTTACAATGGCAAGCACAAAGCTGGGCTTTGAAGCTAAGATATCTGTCTTTATTTTATTATTTTATTTGTAGTGCTAGGGTTTGAACCCAGGGTCTTGTGCATGTGAGACAAGCACTCTACCAACTGAGCTATATCCCCAGCCCAAGACATTTGTCTTAAGAATCAACAGCTGGCATGCTTCACAATATGCTGCAAAAAGAGATAATTATAACTACAACCTGAACATCTGGAATTTGTTGAAAAATCTAAGTAGAGTTCATGGGTGTAAGGAGGTGTTTGAAAGAGAAGATAATATCAAAGAACACCAAAGAGAGGGGGACTCTTCCTCTAACTCTGCATCAGTCCAGTGGCTCAACTGTCATGACCTATTTCTGAATGACCTAACCTAGTGTATGCCAAACATAAAGGGGTCAGGAATGACTAGACAAATGTCATTTTCAATCACCATCTGGAGGAGGACAATAAGTCAAAATGCATAAGCAAAAAGACATGGCAGGCATTCTCACAAGAGGAAGCCAAGAGAAAGAACACCGAACCAATCTAATAAAGTGGAAACCCAGTCTACGTTGAAAGGTTGAGAGGAAGCTAGTTTTGTGAAGAGGTAGGACAAAGCATTTTAAGACAACGAAAAAGCACATGAACAAAGACCACTTATCACATACACATGCACACAGCAGCAGTTGTAATAGCAATACTGAAGGGAAAATGAGATCAAGAGGCAGAATTTGAAAAAAAGAAAGATACTACAGAAATATGAAGGACCCAGATGAGTGTTCTATGAATTATTCCTAACTACTGATACATATTGCCAAAAATATTAGTTATGCATGTATAATAAGGTAGTATTTTCATACTGGGTTCCACATAAGAGAACCTTCTAGATCATTCCACTGAAGAAAGGATATCCAAAGTACTCTGAAAATTAAAAGTATCCAAAGTATAATGTGTTCATGGTCTCACTTCATTAATTTACAGAACTTTTTTTTTTTCCTGCATCAGGGAAATTACTTGAATTAACCTCTCTCTCTCTCTCTCTCTCTCTCTCTATATATATATATATATATATATATATATATATATATATATATATATATCATGAGGTGAATATAATTAGGCTATCACCATCATGTTCAAGCATTTTCTCCAACTTCCCTGAAGACACTGGCACCAGCAGTGCAAGCACTTCTACTCTCTTCCCTGCAGCCATCATGTGCTCCATTTATCCTGTGAATAAACAGCCATTTAGAGTCTCATTGTCAAGCATATCCATCACAGCACCATGACGGTTCTGAAAGCTTTGAGGAAACTTTTGTTCTTCAAAAGGCAAAGGATGGAGCTGCACAATTGTCAAGTCTTCCCACCTTTCCAGGAAACCTAATGGAATGACTGTGTTTTGTCACAATCTATTCAAAAGATCCCACGTAAAAATCAAACTCACTGGCATTGCGGCAAATACACTTCATTTAATAATTGTTTCCAATTATGAAAAATGCTGCTAATGAAGGCAGGTGCAGTGTTGCATGCCTGTAATTCCAGTGGCTGGGGAGGCTGAGGCAGAAGGATCATGAGTTTGAAGCCAGCCTCAGCAAAAGTGAGGCATTAAGCAACTCAGTGAGAACCTGTTTCTGAAAAAAAAAAAAAAAAGACAAAATAGGGCTGGGGATTTGGCTCAGTGGTCAAGTGCCCCTGAATTCAATACCCAGTACCCCCGCAAAAAATGTTGCTGATGAAACAAAGGACAGTTATATAAATTATGAGAAGAAAATACAATTTGCCTTAAGGGATGGCCATTTGTAGAATATTTTTGTCACATCTACAATGAAAGCCACTAGTATTTAAAATCTACACAGGGAATTTATAGATATTCTCTAAATTACATAATGCAGCATTTGCCACCATCAATCTGTCATTTTGCTGTAGCAATTCCCATCTTTAGGACCAAATCATTCTACTCTCAAGCTTTATCTCTTGGTGTGCCAGAATCCACACTCCAGCTCACAAATATGTGCCACAGATAGAGTTCCCTTGAATAAAGTAGCCTATCAAAATTCAAAATTACAGAGTGTAGACTGTTTCTCTGGTTGCTTTCCTTTTGTTTATTCTCATTTATATGGACATGGAACCAATCTTATTTTATACATGCCTAAACATTTTGGATATACATACACAAATGTGAATAATGAACTAATTCCCTACCAAAATATCATTGTCTTATTTATAAAGTATCAGGTTGTGATTAGTGTACTCATTATTATTGAAAGAAGACATTTATTTTTACAAATACACTCCTTAAAGATTAAACAAAGTACTAAAATGTCCAGAGAGGAAAAAAAAAATAAAAGCAACTTAATATATTCCCAATCAGTATGTCTCCTGAGATCAATATAAAGTTTACAAAGATCTATGCAGCCTTTTTCAAAAACACTGTTGCATTTTACAAGTAAGCGAAACAATATTGAATGGAAAATATGTGTATGAAAAAAAATGCACTTCAGAATCACTATTTGCTATCTTTTTTAAAGAAAAAAATCTTGACACAAAGAAACAGATGATATGCTTTGTTTCATGCTGGAGAATCATTGTGCTTATTTCATATGTATGTAAATTTTTTTCATTACATGACTCTTTGCTTATGAGTACTTAATCACAGCCACATTTGTTGGATGAAAAAGCATATGAAAAACAGCACGAGCTATTTCTGTGCCATATTACTTTTCAGGTTAGTGGAGACAATTCAAAACTGCATGATATTAACAGTCTCTGGTGACTTTGGATTCAATATTATTCAATATTTGGGTGATATTAAACAATATTTGAATGATGTTAACACTGATAGCCTAACACATATGAAAAGCCAAAAGATAATTTGGTTCACTTTGCATTTGGAATTTAGGAATCCCCACCTCGTCCCTCTCTTTCACACACACACACACACACACACACACAAACACACACCACAGTTTATTTCTAAACAAAAAAAGAAAATGATGAAATTGATATATTTTTATTCAGTGCAACCAACCCAAAGCATACTAAGTAAATCTATCTGATTCCAACCAGAAATGTATCTTAGAAAACCTAAGGAGTTTCTTACAGTATTTCCTCCAGTTTAATAGCTGTGATGCTATTTATAGTAACCCCAATTGTTTCTTAAAAGAAAGCAAAATACTAATGATAAAAAATTGAAGAGAAAATTCAAATTTTAATTTAAAGAATTTAAAAAATATTAATTTTGAAAACTATATTGAAAGACAAAATGAGATAATGAAATGCTATAGGACCTCTATCTTAAGTCATCTTAATAATCTCCAGAAAACACATTCTTAGAATAAATATTGATTAAATACATCAGTGTTAAATGATAATATTTATCAGCTTAATCTAAGTAAAGAAAAAAAAATCAGCTCAATCAATCATTTTTAACCTAAAGGGATCCTGATAAAATCCAAGTGCCACTCTCTTGTTCAGCTTCTCATGTACACAAACTGTCAGGTCAGAGGTGAAATGAAACATGTTTCAACATTTTCTGTCATTCAGGAATTATGCATTACCATTATGTTAAAAGATTGCCCTCTAGTTACTTTGTTGCACAGTTACTCAAAATGGGCCCCGTGACTCGACAATGAGAGTTTTAAAGAGTGACATCAGGTGCCCATATCCTTGGGGGCAGAAGAATGAGGTAAGTCAAGCCTTGCTTCCTTCTCACGTGTTCCTCCTAAACTTCCTGAAAGCAACAACCTCCAGAGCCTCCTGGACATTCTGCTCAACTCTGTCCTTTCTAGCCAGGCTGTTCCTGAGATATGCCTTCCTCGTCCTTTTTTCCAAAACTGAGTTGCCCCAAGCACACCCTATGTAGCTCAACTAACCAAAAGATAGTGGCTTTGCAACTACAAGAAAAGGAGAACAAAACACCAATAAGTTTTCCATTCAGCACAGTTTTAAATATGTGACGTACTCTGCCATTATTTGATTTGTTACTCATTTCTACACACAATCTCTCTCTCTCTCTCTCTCTCTCTCTCTCTCTCTCTCTCTTTCTGTGTGTGTGTGTGTGTGTGTAAATTAATGCACAGACATATTCAAAGCCAATGTTTTTATTTGGATGGGGATAAGGTTACAATCAGATCATTATGTTTTCTTAACTGAAAACCTCTAATTCCTGATAAAAAGTATAGTGAGATTGGAATTAATTGATGAGATGATTTGTGAAATAATGTACAAATATTTTCTCTAATTAGTTTAAGTACAAAACACATAAAGTACTCTATCTTCATTAGAAGATATACATTCAAATTATGGCTGTTGTTTGATTTTCACCTGACTTTTTTCATCTAATATGGAATATCTTTTGTAGTCAGACATAATTCAGTTGTAGCACTGTAGCATGTCTGAAGCATTGCAATAACTCCATGATATAAACTAGACCCTTTAACAGAGCTGGTCAGCAGCTCCTTTGTAAAGTGTCATAGTCACTACTATTAACATGATCAATAGCCTTTAGCACCTATTATGTCCAAAACACTTTGCTTTGTGCCAGAAATATAAACTTTCAGAAAACAACACTTCTGGATAAAAACTCAAGATTGGTTTTCTACTTACCAAATGAGTGGAAACTTACTTAAGGAAAAGAGAAATGTCATCTGACTTTCATTGAATGCCTTGATTCAAGCTCTGTGCTGAATTACTCATATACATTATCACAAAATCTTTACAATAACCCTAGGACTTGAGTATCAATAAACACATATTACAATTGAGGAAGTTGATCTCAGAGAGATTTTAAGTTATTAATCCAAGATCACATTACAACCAGAAACTAATAAGGTTTGGACTTGACTCCAAAATAAATAGGCTCCAAAGACTGCATTTTTCAACTTTGTGTAGTTTTCTCAATTAATATTAAATTCTTGCTGGCACACGCTACAATCCCAGCTACTCAGGAGGCTGAGGTACAAGGATCAGAAGCTTGAGGCCAGCCTGGGCAACTCAGAAAGAACCTGTCTCAAAATAAAAAAGGTCTGGGGATGTAGCTCACTGGCAGAGCACTCCTGGGTTAAGTCTCCACTACTGAAAAAAAAAAAAAATGTCACCAACTATCTCCATCAGATATGTGAATCTCATTTTATTTTATCTTCTCTTTAATTTTCTGTATCTTCAATTACATTTTGGGGCTCTCCTATGAATCCTACCCAGCTTTTTATGTTTATTTAAAATTGACTAATTCAGAACTAGAAACAACCAAGGTAAACTTCTGTTCACAAATGGAAAGTAAATCATGCATCTGAAATCAAAGAATGTTACAGAACAAAAGATTTTCACAATTACTTAATTCACCGCCTTATCTTATAAATAAGAAAAGTGTATCCAAAGGTTTCATACAACTTATTGCAATATTTGTTTCTCTACTGAAGTCTTGTTTTCAAATCCTGAGAACATAGTATAAATTTGGTTCCCTTAATTCAGTCATTCAATTATTTAATTTATATTTATTTTGGAGTTTCCTCATAGAAATGCATTATCTTGAGCATCAGGAAAAATGATGTGAGATAACTAGGTGTGATATTCGTAAACCTAGTGGGAAAGAAATTAAAAAGCTCTAAAATATATGCTCTACACTACCACTTTTCCCTTCTCTCCACATACACAAAGACTTTTGCTTCTCATTGCCCATGCTAGAGTCAGTCTTCTGAGTCTTTGCACTAGCAGTTCTTTTTGTGTAGAATTATTTCCCCCTAAATAGTCACATGATGAATCCTTATTTCTTTCAGGTCTCTGTCCAAATGTAACTGTTTCAGACAGAGCTTCCATTATGGCCTGCAGTAAAGTAAGACGTTGCATGACATTTTTTCTTTATTACCTGTTGCTAACACTGAAACATAAGCTCCACGAGTGTGGAGCTTCAGGCTGTCTCATACAGTCCCAGTACCAAGAACATCAACTAGATATGCTAGGAGCTTGATAAATATTTGTTGAATAAGTCAATGAATGAAACTGGAGATAGATTTGAAGACTGAATTGAAGATTATGCCAAGAAAATTCTAATTATGGTATTAAAATATTACCATTATTCACCCTTTGTATACTAAAAGGTGCCATCTGATCAGAGGTTTTCTCTAAATGTTCCAATGAGTCATGAAAATGTTATAGAGTTTTTGCACAGAATACAACAACCCCTTTAAAACGTTTCTGGCTATGATACTATAGACAATTGCTCTAGACAATTTGGTGCCCTTTTGGTTTTGAGTTTAAATGATTACTAGGCTTTATATGCCAATAAACTTAAAGTAGTAGATATTGCAATAATTATTCTCCTGGAACTGATTAACCTGATAAGATTTCTTATTGATGCATCAAATTGTTTACTAAATAATCTGATTCACAGAAACATTCTAATTTTCACCCTCTAAAAATTATTTACCATGTGCTATCAAATAAGACATTGATTGATATCATAAGTGTCTTAGGTTTTCCAAGGACTGTTTTAGTTCCTGTAAGAAATCCATAGTATTTACTAATCAAATAAGCAGGATGTTTCCCAATTCACTTCTAAGAATCTTGTTATCTGAGTGTAATCCACCTTCCCCTATAGTCATAACAGAATAGTTTATATTTGCTAGAAAAAAAATAAGGAGGAAAAAGGGGAAAGGAAGGAGGGAAAGAGGAAAAGGTAAGAGGAGAGGAAGGAAAGAAGAGAGGGATGGAGGAAAGCAAGAAGAGTGAAAGAAGAAGGGTAGAAGAAAAGGAGGGAGGGAAGGAGGAAGAATGGGCAAGAATTAAAAAGGGGGAGAAGGGAAGGGAGAAAAGCCCTGTATCTACAGATCTACAGATCAGGCTCATCAATTCCAGGCCAGTTCTCTGGCTGTAATAGAGCGAAACCATTCCTCCGACATTGAGAAAGATATCAGTTACCTCTCACTTGACCTGCTCGCAGATGGCCAGCCTGTCCTTATCATGGGAATCACTCAAGACACTTGTTAAAATGTGATTCCCCATGTCTTCTTCCAGAAACTACTATGCTTCAATAGACTTGAGGGAAGTGGCCTTTGATTTGTTTTCAACAACACTAAATCAATGATTACCAAATTTGAGTTTGCCTCTCAATCACTGGGCATATTGGCTGAACACAAGTGGACATTATCCCAGAGTTTCTGATTTAGTAGATTGGGGGATAAGGTGGATAATTTACATTTCTAACAAGCTCCCTGTGATGTTCAGGGTTCTGATCAAGAACTTTGAGATCCATTTTATATGCACTTCTCATAACCAGGTGAATTTGTAAGAAACATCTGTACCACATTTCTCTGAAGCTACCATTGGATTGATGCATTATTTTTTTCTAACCTTGTAATTACCATGAAAATGTCACCCAGTGATTTTTTTTTTGTTAGAAATCAGATTCAAATAAATCTCTGTGTCCTCCAGTATAGAAGAAAATAAGAAGATGCTCAATCTGCACCGTTTTCTTTATTATGGTGAAACATCACTTTATATCATAGAAATGCTGCCAACAATGCCTAGCTGTACACTTTAAAGAGTTAATCCAAAATCGGCTGAAAAGCAAGCTATGGAGAGAACACAGACTGTGTCCCTGGGTCAGACTCAAATCTCCACTATGTCACCACGAAACACCTACAGGAATGGGCAATAAAGCTAGCCTTTTTTAGAAGAGATTCAGGCACGCCTATTATTTAGAGATCCAAAATTGGGCCATCGGGGCTTCAGGAATGGTGCTTTGCTTTTTGATTTGGCCACTATAAACTCAGGCCGGTTGCATTGCTACTTTCCATGAGGAATTTAAGGGGTGTGACTGCATCCTTTCCAACCCTGCATTCCACATGTGACAAAACTGATCCAGCTGTTTGTCTGAAAGAAATTCCTTGCTGTCCTTAAAAATTAAAAAGCAAGTGATATCCGTCCTCCAGAGGCAAGTCTCCAGCTGGAACCTGGTACAGGCAGTTGCGAAACAGAGACAGTGCCCTGGAGAGCATCTGCTTTTGAATTCTTACCTCGCCATAGGGGGGTTAGCCCCATCTTGCTTTTTGAAATGGCAGATTCTGGATGGAAGGTGCTGGCTTGGCCCAAAGCTCTTGAGAAGTGTTCATCCACTACTGACCCAATGTCTCCCTGGAAATAAGTGAAAAGGACACATCGAGAGTTAAGGTACTCCATCTCGGCAGGCGGGTCTTTCTCCTCCTCCTCCTCCTCATCCTCCTCCTCCTCCTCCTCCTCTTGTTTGCTGGGAAGGGTGACTTCCAGAGAGTCCTGCATCTTGCTGTATACCGCTAACTTCTTCTGGGATGGAATAAACAAAACACAGTATCAAAGACCATTTGTAAAAAAGCATTAACCAGTTAACTTTTCACTTAAAAAAAAAAGAATCTAAATATTAACATATGTTTGCAAATTGATTATTCTTCATCTGCTTTATTCCATCTTTTCCCTCCCCAAACCAATTGCCTCCTTCCCACACTAAAAAAAAAAAAAAAAACTACTATTCCAAATCAGTTAAAGGAAAAAAAAAAAAGCCATTTTCAAATTGTATATTTTCAGTGTCAGAATTTCATTTTTGTTTGTTTTTCTTTAAGTTAGTTGTACTACAAAAGATAATATTTTTTTTAAAAAAAGTGACAGATTCCTTCTATTTTTTCTTCCCACTTTTGATTGACTTTTAAAGATGTAATCTTCAGTAGCATTATAGTTTAAAACAGGGAAGAACAGTGGATAGGAGATCTAACTTACTCAGGGCACGATGGAGAAGAAAAGAGCTTTTCATAAACGAAATAAACTAAAATAAAAACAGGAATGTAGCATCTTATAAAAGGATTTGGCAGATGTGCTGAACTCATTTCTCAAAAATCAAACTAAAATGACAAAATAAGTCTGTGTGAAGATCCATTTTGCATGGAACATATTTTTCAGATGTTCCACTTACCGCCATTACATAGAGAGAAAAAAAGATTTTATTGTGGCTTACTGAAAATAATACAAAATGCTGGAAAGGACTAACTTTCCAAATAAAAATGAGAAAAGCCTGATAATTTAAAAAATATTTTGAAATATATGATCATAACACCAATAACAATTAATACATATTAAGCCAGGTACTCTTCTAAAAACCTTGTGTTTAGTTCCTCATTTAATCTTGACAATTCTATTACATGGTTATTATTAGTATCTGTATCTTAGAGAAAAGACATTAAGGCATAGAGAAGTTAAGTGACTTCTCAAAAATCACAGAGCATGTTAGTGATGGAGGCAAAATGCATAATAAAACATCGGGGAGAGATGTGCATGCATATGCATTGCAGGGAACAGGAGAGGAATATCTAGGGTGGAAGAAAAGTCACCAATATGTTGTATTTGGTATTGTTTCTTTGAACAGTAAGCTGTAGTTTATTTTTTTATTCTTGCATTTTGATATTTCCACATTTTTTTCACTGAGCATGTATTATTTGTATTATCAACTACTTCAATATGAATTAAATATACACTGTATTGTTAAAGCTTATAAAATGCATTATTTCAGTGACCAAATAAGCTTTCTATATCATCTGCTTATTTGTAAAACCCCATCCCTTCTCATATCATTTTTCTTATTTCAGGAAAAAAAAAAACAACGAACAACAACAACAACAAAAAAAAAACACATGCTAGAAAATGAGTGTGAATAGACAAAACTAAACTAAATCATTACAAAATACTACTCATTAGTTCTGCAAATGTTACCAAAACACGTAACCTAGATTCTATGTTTCTAATGTAATTACTAGATTGAAAATCCATAGCACCAAACTATAAATGATGTTCTTTTGTGAGGCGGGTCCTGGATGTTTAAACACATTGTGAGGTGTGGTTATTAGGTTGGGGCTCTTATTTACACAATATATGTGTTGCTTTTAATTTAAACTTTGTGTCATTGTGGTATCATTTGTTAATGAATAGATAATGAATAGGTAATTGCAAAGACTGCCTGATATATTTCTTATAATCTATTTTTGCACAGATTTAAGCCTGTTTAATTTTACTTGAATGGTAAAAACAACATAATAACATAGATTATGTATAAAAGGAGGGGGTTAAACTAAATCAGCTCTAAAGTTAATCCTAGTTTCAAATTCCATTAAAAAATTAAACAGATATTGTGATCAATTAGTCAAACCACAGTGCTGTTTCCTTGTGTGTAGATATATATTTATTCAAAGCATGCTTTGTTGAAGGATATGCACACACTTTTTCTTGAAGAGTCTGGCATACTAGAAAGAAGCACTACATTTTTATGGAAGGGATATTAAAACTGATCTACAAAGCAGCTTCACTGTCCATAGTGTTCATTATAATCTGTGAAACTGATTCTCAGCACAATTTGTGAGAATCAGGCTATGCATATAAAAGTTTCACTTGTTTAATTTTAATATGTATTCTTCAAGTAAAATAGCCTTGGCTGTGTTAATTATCCAAATAAAGGCAAGAGTTTTTTTTTAACCCTCACTTATCAAGAATTAATTCTTAAGTGAAATAAATTTAAAGTTATATGTACTGAAAAAAATTTTGAAAACTGCATATCCTGATACAAATGTAAAATATTGTGATCAATAACAGGAATCATAAAATATTTTAATTTGTAATTGATGGCTGTTGAATTCAAGACACAGATTTTTCAATCTATTTAAGATTACATAATTTTCCAAATGCTGCACTAGTTTTGTGGGGTTTTTTTCTGTCAGTTATTGAATGACTGAATGCAAATAAATTAATGCTTGAACTCATATACTTTTCAATATACATGGGCGAAAAGTAAGCAAAATCTGCCCTTGTATCAAAACAGCTATCACTCTAGTTTTTAAAAATCATTCTTCTGCTCATTCATGCATTGATTCTCTATATCCTTTATATTTCACACATATGTAATATCTCTGTTTATATTCTTATAAATATACATGTCAAAATACTTCATTTTGATATTGCAAACACTTGTGGTTCTAAAAAAAGGGAGCCTATGATGTTCCTATCAATAAGCAGTATTTAAGAATATTTATCATTCCCATCTGCACTTTTTTTACAATAAAGTGGATTAAATTTTCATAAAATATACAGAACCAATTTAAATATTTATATCTCCAAAACTCACATATTTATAGCCTCACAGTTAACATCACTGTTTAAAAGAAAAATTTCAAAGTATCCAAATGACCTGATAACTACCTGAAATGCTAAATATGAATTAGTATAAATTTTTTAACATTAATTGTGAGCATAAAGAATACAAAAACAAATTTTAAATAGAAATGAACTCATATGCTGACATTCACACCACACTAATTTTCTTCTTTATAGACTCTTGAGCTTAACTACTTTCTTATATCTGTGCTTTGGTGATTGTAAATCAATGATTTGCTTTTTTTTTTTCTTAAATCCAGCATACTACTTGTGTGTGCTTTTGCCATACTCTGTATTCACCAATGTTTACTTTTTTGGAATGAAATTTCCCTAGAGTTACATTCTTTCTTGGGAATCATATAAAATTTAAAATATTGATATGGAATCTAATATGCACAGAACATAAACTTCTAAAATCAAATTAGAAATGTAACCCACTTATATTATTCCCCAAATACACAATCACTTCCTAATAACAACTCTATCTCATAAGTATTCATAATTCCCTTATAAGCCTCTGAAGAATTGTTAACAGAAATTAAGAAGATGTCAAAGGTGGCCTTAAAGACTACAATCACTTTACCTAATGCACATATATGTCTCACTGTCACTGCGTAGTAATGACAATATTTCCCCAGGTAATATTACTTTGGAGTTAGGTGAGGCAATGAATGGGTTAACTGACATACAGTGAAAGCTAACTCACAAAGGTGTAAAGCAGGAGAGTGAAGGAGAGTTGGCCCAGGCAGTGCAAGCCTTAGCCACCACCTCAATGCCTGCCATTAGGCACAACAGAAACAAACTGCAGCAGGAATGTGCAGGGGAAAGGATTTGTCTGACAAGAGAAAGACTTCCATGTCAGGAGCCAAATACCACTAACTCCCCAAGGCTTAAGCCTGTAAAATGCCAAATGATTACTGTGCATATGTGGAAACTTTTTTTCCTAAGGAAACAAAAGTATTTTAATGAATCACTGCAATCATTGGATATTTAGAAATAGCTTTTTCTTTTTCTTCTTTTCTTATTTTTTAAAAATTTCTTCTACTAGCTATCTTCTTTAAATGCAAGGATTTTGGGGGGTTCAAAAACATGAGCAGTGCTTTTAGAAAGAACCATTGGCTTTTAGTAAATGTTTCAAAACTGTGAAGCTCGTAGGAGCAGCACATTGCTCCTTCATCATTTTTTTTTAATTTACTTTAATAACAGAGTTTTAAAAATATCTCAGAGAGACTTGAGCTTTGAGATCTTCACCTGTTTGGAGGTGAATGGATCAGGAAATGCAAGGTTGGGTTAGGTTAGTAGAAACATGCCATAGACCTTTTATACATTTTATTTCATTTAATATCTCACTCTCACATGCAGAAATATTTTGCCAGAATTCCCAATTTACATATGCAAAATCTGGCTAATTTAGCCAGGATCATCCAAGTAATAAGAGGCAGACATGGGATTAGAACCTATTTCTGTATTAATACAAATCATGCGCTAGGAAAACAGATTGGAGAAGGTGAGTCTCAAAAACATAACTTATTTTGATGGAATAAACAAACATAATTCCACGGTCAATATGGCATTGCATGACAACTAGGATAGTCTAATGTTATTTATAGCATTAAAAATTACATTATAAAAAGGGATATAGTTATTAAGTAATGCAATGCTCTTAAATATATATGCAAGTCTGGATGAAATGTAGTGTCTAAAAATGTACTGTCTCCTTGGTAATCGGACACATAATCCACTGGTCTACAATTTTTCTGGAAATCCTATTTTGGAAATGTGAGAAGAGTCAACTTATAAGAAACAATCACCTCAAGATCCTCTGTTTTTTATTTATTTTTCTTAATCTGAAATGCTATTACTTAGCATAACGAGCTACTTTTGAGCACTGTGCCTCTAAATGATTCTGGTTATTATCAAAACTCCAACCTCCAAAGATGAAAACTTTTCCATTTTTATGATGTTCAAAAAAATGTGCCACAGGCTTAGAAGCAATTTCAAAATTTGCATTCCCAAAATGTTTTAAGCAATGATCACATCATTAGGGTATGTGTTTTTTCTCAAACCAACTACTTTGAATGAAACAACAGTTTCCATGTATAAATTTCTGGTATGTTTTTTATAATCCTTTGTCT